CAGGAAGTAACTATTTCTTTCTTATAACAGGACACGTGTCAATTGCATTATTAGGAAATTAGTCGATATTACGCCTCTAAAGCTGTGTGCAGTACTAGAAACAATATTTAAATAATTCAAGTAATTGCAACTAATTAGGATATGCCGCGACGATAAATATTTCTATTCCGATCCCAGCTGTGCAAAAACTCATCCAAACACCGCATTCAGTTTAGCGAATTTATGCAACCGTAATGCACGATTCGGTAGCCACATTCTGTTTGAAGATGAAGCCATGTGTTGCCTTCATGGCCCATGCTGAAACTGCAAAATTTCAGATATAGAAACCGACTGCAATTCGCCGGATAATTGAAGGGCATACCCAACAGGTAAATTCAGACAATGTGCGTCGTACTAACAAATCCCATTAAAGAAAAATATATGCAAAATTACACCTTTTTTAAATTTTACTAGGGTGCATACAAGCAAAGGCGGATTTTGCAAGTTAAATAAATAGTCTCAATGGCGCGGAAGTTGATTTCGTTGGAAATTCAATTATTTAACACCGTTTCTTTTTAAACAACATATTTAACTGAACAGCATATTTCCAACTATAAAGGCTTTCACGGCCGGTCAAATTACATTCCTAAATGTAGTCAAATTTCCATCTAATTTCCGATAATCATTCTCGGACAATAGTTTTAGTTAGAAACAACTAAGTAAATTGTTTGAATAGGAAGTCATGTTGTGGAAATACAATAAAATATAGCTAACGTTGCACTGTATTCACCTTCAAAGCCCGGAAAACATTCCTAAATGTAACGTTGCACTGTATTTCGCAGTTGCATTTCGAGTTACCCCTGTGTTCCAGGTTTGCGACTCGTTGAATTGGATTTCAATTAAACGATTTTTAAGTGCAAGATGAGCGAACGGTGAAGAACACAATTTTCATTAATACCAATTGTACATACTTTCCTGACTGTTTCAATTCCAAATCAAAATTAATTCCTGGGTTTCAGTCATTTATTGTCTCTCTTTATCAATTAAAATACGTTTCGGTGTATTTTTCCACCATCATCAGTTTTTCTAAAATTCTGGAACACATTCGACTCAAAATTTCGGCCTTGGTCAGAATGAAGTTCCAGAGGACCGCCGAAACGACTGAAGAGCTCATTCACAAGTACTGTTGCCACGGTGGTTGCCTCTTGGTTGAGAAGGGCGTAAGCTTCAGGCCATTTGCAGAGCACCTACGGTGTACTGTACCATTGGACCTCTTGATCTCGTGCGAGGACCTTTGGTGGCACAACATGCTTCGCACTTACGGCACCAGGACTCTACGTC